CTACATCTAATAGTAATATGTTAATCACACAACATCCACTACATCTAATAGTAATATGTTAACCACACAACATCCATTACACCTAATAGTAATGTGTTAACCACACAACATCCATTACATCCAGTGCCTACGAGGAATTTCGCCAAATACCACGGCTCTTCTAGTTGTCTAGGATACAGTAAACAATCGTGGTTGAGACACTATATAAAAAAACGGCTTGGCAACTGTTACGGTATGAACTGTATTAAGTTGAAACACAGCTTGATAACTGTTACGGTATGAACTGTATTAAGTTGAAACACAGCTTGATAACTGTCACGGTATGAACTGTATTAAGTTGAAAACGACTTGGTAACTGTTACGGTATGAACTGCATTAAGTTGAAACACAGCTTGATAACTGTTACGGTATGAACTGTATTAAGTTGAAACACAGCTTAATAACTGTTACGGTATGAACTGTATTAAGTTGAAAACGACTTGGTAACTGTTACGGTATGAACTTTATTAAGTTGAAGTGTAATTTTTCATTAATTTTATTTATGTCACGACACGTGAGAATTAGGGCAAGGATTATTTAACACTATATTATATTATTCATTTCAACATTAAATATTATTAATTATTTTTTGAATTAACCTGGTTATTATTGAGAATAATTGGCAAACCAGCAAGTTTGCCTTATTGATTCTGGAGTGTCACCGGAAGAAGACTATATTAATAATTATTGATATGAAATTCTAAGTGATTTGTTTGATTGAAGTTAATCACAAATCTACACAATGGGCTATTTATGCTCTGGCCACCACGGGTGTCGAAACCCGGTTCCTAGCGTTGTAAGCCACTGGGGGGCAATACTGAGTGAGGTAAAAAAAGAACATATAATAATAATAATATGGCAATCACAACATATCTGGTATATCCAGTGCCGACGAGACTTTTAGCCGAATATCAAGGCTCTGCGGGCTAGCTGGGATATGACAGAGCTTTTGTCTAGTTGTTTGTTGCTAGGCACAAATCTACACAATGAGCTATTTGTGCTCTGCTCACTGCGGGTATCAAAACCCGATTTGTAAACGCTAAGCCTTCAGACTTGCCGCTGAACTACTGAGTGATTGAGAAGTTATATGTATTAGCAAATTGCTTGACCACAACTGTTACGATGAACCAGCACAAAAGATGAATCAATGGATATCTTCAACACTACTCAGACTAACAAACACTAAAAATATTTCACTGAAACACAAATGGTCACCTGCATACAATTCTCTTCAATACAAACTGATTTCGGGCTACTTTTAACGACAACATACACCTCGTTGTACCTCCACAATGTCTACCTTGTAGCATGTCACATTGTGTGACTTGTGAACCCACCTTGTAACTGATCAAGTGGTGTCACTTGTGAACACACCTTGTAACAGATCATGTTGTGTCACTTGTGATCTCACCTTGTAACAAATCATGTTGTGTCAATTGTGATCCCACCTTGTAACTGATCAAGTGGTGTCCCTTGTGAACACACCTTGTAACAGATCACGTTGTGTGACTTGTGATCCCATCTTGTAACTGGTCACATTGTGTGACTTGTGATCTCACCTTGTAACAGATCATGTTGTGTGAATTGCGATCCCACCTTGTAACTGGTCATATTGGGTGACTTGTGATCCCACATATTTCCCACAGTTGTTACATTTCCCCCTCCTCTTCCACTTCCTCCTCTCCACTGGTCATAGTAAGGCCGGTCACGGTTTTGCTGCAGCTGGCCAGATTTTATTGCAATACTCACAGCCATTTTTGCTATAGGCTGGCGGAACAATATTAAACAACAATAAAGAAAAATGGGTGATCCTTATTATGAACCACTACCGTGGTTCAAGATAACGCGCCAAAGCTGAAATGTGGAGCATGTTCAGCGGCATATCGTGAACTAGAACCTAGGACCTTCCGATACGCACCCCGGCACACTAACTACTTGGTTACGCCGACATGTCTTTATTTTATTTGGAATAAACAGTAAGATAAGAATTATTTTATTGTACAATTTGAATACTAGATTCGTTATTGTAGTAATATAGAAAAAATGGGTAATATACAACGGCAAAATAAGAAACTTACTATCAATCTTAAAATTTCACTAGCTATAGATCATGTGATATTTATTACATTCAACATTTAAGTCTGTATAACGAATATAACTGATCTATAGTAAACATGTCTCTACAACAAATATAATACAACACTATAAAACCACACTAAAACAGAATGATGTATCATAATGACGTATAGAAGTGTTATAAAGCAAACATGAATAAGCAAGAAATATAATATAATGCTGAAAAATCTAAAACACAGGGATTTATCTATATAATATAACACAACGTTGTAAGACATTAAAACAGTTGTGTATCTATATAATGTGGAAAAGTGTTATATAGTGAACATAACTAAACAAGCAATATAACACAGTACTGTAAAACAATGTAAGACAGAGTTGTATTTGTATAATTTACAGCAGTGTTATGTAGTAAACATGACTGTATAAAAAATTATACAATGCTGTAAAACTACGGTGATGTATCTCTATGGTGTATTGAAGTACTATATAGTGAACATAACTAAACAAGCAATATAACACAGTACTGTAAAATAGGCTATATTATTATTATTACATGATTTAATAAAATGCTATATAATCATCCACAAGTCTGCTATCTTACCATTCTAAGATCAAATTCCCGACAGTGTAATTTTAACGAAAACAACAACAACCTATATTTCACACGTTTTGTGTAATTAAATGAAAAATAGAATTGTGTCTGTGACAGATTAGGGCGGTGAAATGTGTATAGATAATCACTCGGGAAGCAGTTTCGAGTGTTGTTTACCTATGGTTATTTGTAGGGGCGCTAATATCTGTATCACACACACCTAGCTATATTCACATGCTTTATATAAAGTGCCTGCTTATAGAATATTGCTTGTTCTTCAACTTTTATTTTCCCGACAACAGAACGGTGTACAAGTTAAACTGCGTCTCTAGGTTTGTAAAACGTCGTGCCAGTAAAGTACATTTTCAGGCTACGATGATAAATTACTGATCTTGATAGCAAGAACTGGAGATGGTGAGAGTTCATTATTGTATCAAATGTTTTGCGTAGTTACATAGGAAAAATGACACAGATAAGAAAAATAAGCTTTACTAGCTGAATGGTTACGAACATGAGATTCACCTTGAAAGTTATGGTTCGCCTTTTGAAGTAGTTGTTGATAAAACTTCTTAAAAAACACGTTTAGTACCATTTTTCTAAATATTGATTTTAACGTTTTGGTGACCCTGTATGAAACAACAATGTTAATTCATATATAGGGTCTGTTGTGTTTAATGCATGTCAGATGTATAATTTAACACTGAATTTAGGCTAGTAAAAGTGTGATTAAAAAAGTATCACCTGCATTTTCGGAATTTCTTATTGTGACCACGTTTAAAGAAAGGAGAAATAACGAAACAAAGATATTCGCGAATCCTCCCAGGTAAAGGAAAGCGTACTTGAAAGGGCGTGTTTGTTCTACTCACCTACTGCGTGACGCACGTGAGCTTCTATGAGAACGGGAAACAATGCTTGAAGATTTGGACGTTCTTCCAGAGCGTGTTTCTTCAGGACTTTGGCCTGACGTTTGTGACGACTTTTCTGCTCTGGAAACTGCAGTGTTCCGACAGTAAAATGACCTAATGTACGTCAAAATCATTTTACTAGGACTAGCCATTTCTTTCTGACTGTAGGTATAAACAGTTCTTCTTTAGTTTACCTAAAATGCAGAGGTTTCGAGGATGCCGTGTTAGACGTTGGCATGGTAACGGATAATGTTCAGGAAGCTATTAAGTTAAAATTTATGTAGGTTTCTATACATACAGTAACAAAATAATAGAAACCTTTCAAGGAAATTTCATTTATCAGATTTCGTTTCGATTAGGTTGTTTCGCGATACGTTTGAGTTCTATTGGAAAATTTTAGGTGCAACGCTGTTTTGTAAAGAAAAGACCTGCAGTCACCATGGTAACACTTCACTCGGATAACGTTAATCCCTGCACCCGAACAAACCCTATGTAAATTTGCAACAGGTAACTGTAAATCAAAAATCAATAACGCAGATCCCTAAGGTAACACTGTAGAATCCTACTTCTAGAGAACTATTTTTGTTACTGAAAATTCTAGGAAGATGGGTGCAACTATAGTTACACAAACATATATTTTCTGTTGTTGCTCTAGAGGTGTCAGTATTCGTGCTGAAAGAATATAATGTTAGTGTTAGAGAGTTAATGTCGTGCACGTAAACCGAGCGCTAACCCATTAACAACAATCCAAACAACACACGTTCCCTAGGAAACATGCCGCGGCACCTTTCTTCCTCTTATTCCTAGTGTACACTCTTAGCTTAGTCTGTTTACTTGTGACACTTCTGAAGGACAGCGTAATTTGACTCCTTGGATCTCCACTAATTACGGAAACAACCGTTTTTATCATCATCCAATGTATGAGGCGCTTTGCCACTGCATAAAGCACAAGGGGCATGCACGTGCGCGACCATGTGAAGGATACTTATTTCACAAAATCAGCAACACATTTCAATTCTTTGTTTCTGTTCCACCTAAAGAATTTACACTTTTTTTTCCTCTCGAAAAAAAGGCTTCAATTGTTTGAAACTAAAATCAAATTAACCAATGGGATTTTTTTTAGTGTTAACTCCACGATTTTTAAAATATTCAAGTTACAGACGTCATATTCGCAGAAAAAGAGTTCCATAGATACCTTTTTTCCCCCCACACTTTTTTCCTTCTTTAAATCCAACGTGGTAACCTCTGAAGTCCTACCTGTAATACAGAGTGCATGTTCAATTATCTACAATGTTTTCCAACAGGTTACGCCTTCATGTTCCATTTTCTTTACTGTGTAATCCTTCGTATCCTTCACCAGAGTTTGCCTACTTAGTTTCCGTTGGCGGTATATACGCAAAGTGAAACAACGAATCAGGGAGAGTGTAACAGAAATAATATTGATCAGTGTTTCAGAATTGTATGACTGAGCAGAGATCGGGCTTGGAAAAATTATCCTATAGACGATCGAAGACTTTTACATATACACAAAGAAATCGGTTACCTCGCTGACACAGAATTATTCAAGTTTTTAATAAAATATTTTATTTAAAAGTGTATTGGTAAAGAAAAAGGTTTGAAAACACATTTTTTTTCATTAGGCGCATTATATCAATATACGACCATTTTAATAGCGTCTATTAAGTCATTATTACGTCAACAAAACGACAACATAAAGATAATGAGGTTTGAAACTTTCTTTCGTGTATTTTTACTTTGTTTGTTTGTTGTTTAAAGTTCGGATTGTATTATTAATTTTTGTTCTGTCTATTTGTTTTTGTTGTACTTAAGCATAAAGCTACACAATGAGCTGTCTATACTCTGCCCATCACAGGTATCGAAACTCGGTTTTTAGATTCGTAAGCCTGCGGACTTACCAGTAGGCTACTGGGAACTTGTTCCACCTACATAAATACATTTTTGATATCCTGGAAACAGTTACTTACTTGGAGAGTTAACATTTTTTTTTATATCGAAGAGCAAATAAAAGTCTTGTTCTGTAAGCGTTGAATTGGGCTGGAGTTTTGTGGTGCACGTCACTGGGGTCTCCATGCTGAGGAGAATAATATAACATACAAAAAAATACAAATTGTTGTGCTTTATAGAGGTTCCCCAGTGGGTAAACGCTAAGTTTATAGACTTAAACCTATAAAATCCAGGGTTTGATTCCCCGTGGTGGATAGAATTCAGATAACCTATTGTGTTGCTTTGCGCTATAACAAAAACATAAAAAATATTTCACAGAGAGATCTTTATAGTTTCTTACTTGTTAATAACATTGTTATTCTCCAATAATTAATTAAATAAACATTGTTACCAATAGGATGTTAAGTAAGTAAGTAACAAGAAGCAGGAAGTCAGTGATTTCAATAAACCGGCACTTCCGACTACTCTCGTAATAGATGCCATAAAGAGGGAAATGTTTGTTTGTTTTGAATTTCCCGCAAGAGGGCTATCTGCGCTAGCCATCCCTAATTTAGCAGTGTAAGACTACAGGGAAGGCAGCTAGTCATCACCACCCACCGCCAACTCTTGGGCTACTCTTTTACCGTCACATTATAACGAGCATGTTTGGCGGGACGAGGATTCGAACCCGCAACCCTCAGATTGCGAGTCGAGCGCCCTAACCACCTGGTCATGCCGGGCATAAAGAGGGAAAAAACACTATAGTATATTAAAAATTCAGTTGAGGTACTGGATAAAGAGGGAATTATCCAAAAATTAAATTTGCAATGATATATTTGTTGTAAATAACCCAGCTATATTAAATCCTATTTTTATACATCCACTAAATGGATGGCATTAACATCGCGTTTTAGGGCAATTGTTAGAAACTGTTCATTTACTTTGTGGGGGATATGGAAAAGATTCTTATTTATTTTTGGAAAGGGGTATTTTTTTTGAAGAGGCATATATTTGTGACACAGTTTTAACTCAAGATGCACCAATGAACCTACAGATTGAATTTTTGTCTAAAGATTTATATGGAAGCACAGGCAGGTCAATGGTTTGATTTGATTTGTTTGAAGTTATGCACAAAGCTATACAATGGGCTATCTGTGCTCTGCCCACCACGGGTATCGAAACCCGGTTTCTAGCGTTGTAAGTCCGCAGACCTTCCGCTGTGCCACTGGGGAGCCAGGTCAATGGAGTATTATATACATACATATATTGTTCTAAATTAAGCTTCAGTTTTACTTCTTTATATTTCAATATATTTACTAACCTATATATGTATAATGTTTTATTATGCTGTTCATATAATTATGTGGCTATTATTGAGGGTGAAAAGCAAACTACCGTATAAGTAAATAGTATGTTCGTAGTAATACGTTTTATGAGTTGTTTTTTATTTTATCATTAGGTCCGATATTAGTTAGTGATACAATAATAATAGCTTTTAAGAAGATAAAATAGAGTTTATATTTGATAGACAATGTGCAGGGTTTACTATCACAGATACCTCTCTAAATAGGAAACATTTTACCATCCCCACACTGTATTTTGTACCTGGTTTGACTTGTCTATCAGATAACAAAAGCTAAACAGAGACCCCAAAGTTGAGGCATAGCCGCCATTCGTTTAGACCTGTTTTCTAAATAAAAAGAAAGAAATCAGTAAGCAGTAACTGCTGACTGTATGGATACTCTTAACAAAACGGTGGTATTGACTGTCACTTTTATTATGCATACATAGCTGCAAAAATAGGCTGCGTGCTGGGCTGAGTGTACACCAGTGCTTAGCGTACCGGACTATAAATCTGAGGTTCCATGGTTCGCATCCCGTCTCTGCAGAATCGCTTTCTGGACTTTGGAGCCGCGAGGGTTTGCATTACAAGAGTAACGTTCAATCCCTACTATTCGATTGGAGTAGCCCGAGAGTTGGCGGTGAGTGCTGTTGAGAAGCTTACTTCTCTGTAGTATATCAGTTCAAAATTATGTAGGTTTTCGAGAATTTCCGAAACAAACAAAGGAGCATGTCCGGCGGCAAATCGCGGAATCGAACCCTGGACACTCAAATCCGCACTTCTACACTAACCGTTAGACCAGGCTCGGTCTCTGGTAGTTTGAAAATAACAAATCATCCGAAGTAGATCATTAGATGTTAAGGTTAACATTACCGTAATGTCTCTTTAAATATAAGTTAGGGCAGATTATCGTAAAGGTCCATATTACAGTTAAGGATAACATTACCGTAATGTCTCTTTAAATATAAGTTAGGGCAGATTATCGTAAAGGTCCATATTACAGTTAAGGATAACATTAATCGTAATGTCTCTTTAAATATAAGTTAGGGCAGATTATCGTAAAGGTCCATATTACAGTTAAGGATAACATTAATCGTAATCCGTCGTAAGTGTCCGAAATAATGTAAAAACTAAAAGGTGTTACAGAGTAGTTTTTTTTTATATTTGTAAAAAAATACAGTGTCTGCAACATTTGAGAACGCAAAATTAGTTGTTCGAACTAACACTATAACTTAATCTTAATTCTGATTTTAAAAGGCGGGAGGGTGTGTGTGTGTTCTTTCAAGAAAATCTTTAGTACAAAGAAAATCAACATTTACCAAGGACTGATGTTCAATATTAACAGTAGCCAGCACATTTACCAAGGACTGATGTTCAATATCAACAGAAGCCAGAACATTTACCAAGGACTGATTTCAATATCAACAGTAGCCAGAACATTTATCACGGACTGATGTTCAATATCAACAGTAGCCAGAACATTTACCAAGGACTGATGTTCAATATCAACAGAAGCCAGAACATTTACCAAGGACTGATTTCAATATCAACAGTACCCAGAACATTTATCACGGACTGATGTTCAATATCAACAGCAGCCAGTTAATGCACCAAGGACTGATGTTCAATATCAACAGTAGCCAGAACATTTACCAAGGACTGATGTTCAATATTAACAGTAGCCAGCACATTTACCAAGGACTGATGTTCAATATCAACAGAAGCCAGAACATTTACCAAGGACTGATGTTCAATATCAACAGTAGCCAGAACATTTACCAAGGACTGATGTTCAATATCAACAGCAGCCAGTTAATGCACCAAGTGTTCCTATTTCATTCGTTTGTTTGTTGTTAAGCGCAAAGCTACACAATGGGCTAACTGTGCTTTGACCACCGTGAGTACGAGTACTGAAACCCAATTTTTAGCGCCATATGCCCTCACATGTACTACTGGAAGCATGTCATTCGTTGTTCCTGTCATTCCTCGTAACATATACACTACTGTGATTCTAAGAAAATTTGGGCACGTTTTAATACTGAAAAATGAACGTTTTTAAGACTCATCTTGTTTTAAACTTGTTTGTTTTATAGAGCTTTTTATTATTTAAGAAATCAGTTGATATTTTCTATAGCTCATTAGTAATATTGTCATCATTTTGTGTAACCAAATACCAGTTTTGATCGTTTTAATGAAAGTGCATTTCCATAGTACGTGACTGTTTTGTTTACAAATAAACGACTGACGCCCATAAGTGTTAGGACTTGAAATTTGATTTCTAAACGCTTAAATATTGCACTGTATTAAATAGAAAACCGGGATTTTGCACCAGATAATAATTACATAGTGTATACCTTCCACATGTTCACATATATTGTGGGCTATGTACATGCTACAATTTTTCACTGGTATCTCCTTATAGTGGAAAACAATTCAACAAATATCCTGCTAACTACACCGAGTTTTCATTCGAAGTTCACTATCCGTAGCGTGATAGAAAATTACAACGTATCCGCCACTGGCTCACATTTCAAGCTGGAGATTGATTTGGTGACCGGGAGAAGCATATAAAAACCGATTATTTCGTCAACTCTGATTTAATGTCGTTGTTCAGTGCGTCTGCAGCTCAAGTTACATCGAATGAACTTAGAAAGAGAATGTTTATGTGTAAAAGCCCAAGGCTTGGCCACGGAAGATGCATTATGAATTTTCAATCTGCTTGAAACTGATTAAGTGTATATTTCACGTGACAGCTTTCGGTTCGAGTGCAGTTAGGCTTGGTATTAGATAATTACAGCAGCCGAGTCTGTGTTTCTGTCATTTATCCTTTAACCAGATAAAGTACTAGCCAGAAATTTCAACCAAATGTCTCTAAGCCATTAAACGTATCAGTAGATATGGGTATAGAGTTCTGAAAGCACGATATAGCTTTTTAATGTACAGGTTTTGCAAATAACATAAGGCGCATTAGTTCTTCAAATGCGTTCGTCGACATAAGAAACAGCGTAGCTGCGGTTCTTTTCTGTCCAAGATACATGTATGCAGTGTATTACAGACATTACAGTAATTTGTTGAAAAACG